AACGTGCGGCCCTTGGTCAAAATAGAAGGCAAGTGGTAATCATTAGTACGACTTTCTGTATCAGAGTTGGAGGTCTGTATGAAATCTTTCTACCAATAATTCTTCATGGCGTTCTCTTGTTACAATTCATGGATTCAACCAACTGCGTCTTCGTCTTCAAACCATCTCTGTGGCTATCAGTCGCATTATTTCGCATAAAAGCTGGGCGTAACGTATGTTGACTACCGACCTACCCTTCTCGATTCTGTGTCCGAATATCATTGTATTAGATGCTGCGTCGACGTTTCACTGCTCCTTATTTTCAGGTTGACGATAGAGCTGACATGGATGAAATGGCATGATGACTAAAATTTTCATTCCCCACGTCTTGCCTGATCACGATATCACTTGTCAGTACTTCCAGAGCGGGGAATCGCTATCCAGAGTTGGGCCCTCAGCAATGGAGCCTTTCGCTCCTCAAGGATCCCAACAGTGAACTGACACACAGAAATCCTGTGGTGAATCGAGAAGCCCATGGGCAGACACGATTCGGTGCCACAGATCAAAGCTTTAGAACCTCAGCGGAATGTGACTGTTATTCTCACGAGACCGACATCGCTTCCCGTGTCTACATTAGCAAAGCTAGTAGATATGCCTTCATGGCTGGTAAAAAGTCGTTTGCGAGCTGCTAACGGGATTGACGTGTAGTTCTTGTGGCCCATGGAGCACCTGAGCTTCAGGTCTATGTTCGTGCTTCGATGCGTCGGTGTCATAAAAGAGTAAAATTTCAAGATAGCAAGCTTTACTAGCGTTGAAAATATGTGAAATGTGTTAGATCTAAATCTTCTAGTAAATGGTTCGCATGAATTCAGCGTTATCAACGCCTCCAGTTCTCTCGGCATAGTTAAGACCATCCGAGCAGACGTCCGCTCACATGGTGGACATGATGAACCTTTGAAGAATTATCAAGATCAAGCCATGTTGGTGTCTGCTTCTGACCAACAAGGCAGTCTCTTTGTCTGAATTTGTCGAATTTCATGGCAGATTCCTTGTACGGAAATTGCACTCCAAAACTCATCTACCAATCTCATGCATCGAAATTGTTGCAGGCCAACGCCAGAAGCACGGCTATTGTTAGGCTTACTTCAAAGGTGTAAAAAAAAGACGCATGTAAATGACGCGCCTGTAGTTATGCTGCTGCGTTGTGTTCATTTGTGGTAAGCTAGGTGGCACTTGAAAGGGTTTCCTCCAGGTAAGGTAGTGAAGGCAATCGTCGGAGATCAGGGAACTGCCGAGCCAACGAGTTTCTGGAATAGCAAAGCATTGTAACTCTCATTCTCTTGATTAATGAATGTTTGCCGGGAGAAAATGCGATGCTGTTGTTAGCGATTGCATGCCGCTTGTTATTTCCATGTGCACTCATGGCTTGTGCTGGATCTGGTACATGTCGCTAGCTTTGCTAGACTTGTTTTTTGATATTAATTTGTTTGATGACTTAACATTTGGAACAAATGTCGTCACTTATGAAGTGTATACCCTAGAAGAGCCACGAATCTTAAAGACATCTTAGCGGTGTCAGGTGAATTACACCCAGCATCGTGTTGTGAAGTTGCCTCTGGCGGTGGAAGTGGACCCATGTCCGTACCAGCCACAAAGAAGACTCGCAAAGCCACAGACCCCTGAACACGATGCGTCCGAGCTCAAGCTCCATCTTTGGGCCCCTGTCCGATCGATCATCAGCACTTTCGTTTCGCACCCATGACAAACACCATGTCCACGTCGACCCTTCGCTTCCATCACCTCTCCCCTCATGCCTCACGGGTCTGAGCGAGAGCAATGGCGCCACGACTCCATCTCTTACGATTACCCACCAAGCTGCGTAGACGCGTGCGGCGGAACCGAATGGCGACTCTCCTTGGCCTTCTCGCGCTCTGCGTACTCCTGATTATCCCCTTCTATGTCATCTACAAGCCGCCCGCGGCCCTCATCCGACACTTTCAACGCAAGTGGCCTGATGTCCTGTGGCAAATTGAGACGCAGCGGAAAATCGTTGCCCTGACGATCGACGATGCGCCATCCGAACACACGACTGCGATCGCCAAGCTCCTCCGCGAGAACGACGCCCACGCGACCTTCTTCGTCATCGGCTCGCAGGTCGAGAGCCGCCTCGACGCTCTCGGCGAAATCATACGAGACGGCAACGAACTTGGCAACCATGCCATGCACGACGAGCCCTCGCGCTCGCTGACCGACGCCCAGCTCGAGAACGAGATAAGGAGTGTCAGCAGGAAGATCAAGAGCGTGTACGACTACGAAAACATTCCCACGCCAGTGAACTATTTCCGACCGGGCTCTGGCTTCTTCAGCGATCGCATGCGGGTATTGATCGACAAGCTGGGCTACAGGATGGTGCTCGGCAGCATTTACCCCCACGACCCCCAGATCAGCCGGCCAAGAGTCAATGCCCGACACATCTTGAGTATGCTGCGACCAGGTGCCATTATCATCTGCCACGACAGGAGAAGCTGGACTGTGCCGATGCTTGGGGAGGTCCTCCCGGAAATTAAGAGGCGAGGATACGAAATAGTCACGATTACGGATCTTGTAAAAGAAGGAACTCCGTGAGAGGACACCACTGGCACTAGAAGTACCTAACAACAAGTGCTGCGCCCTCGACGATACGAGGGCCGCCTGACACTTGGCCGAGACACCAAAAATTCGATGAGACTGACGCTGAGCCCGTTGGCCACAAGCCGGTCCGGGCTGCTCAGTCGCGCAGAGCGCCTGCTTGCAACGCCGCATCCCGGTCCCGTCTTGTAGAGCCCGCATGAGGATCTACGTGTGCGTCAGCCTCCTATCAGACTGCAGTCGCACAATCCACGAGGTTTCGGCAATAGACTCCCGCTAGGCGATGCGCCTGACGCTTGGCCTGTGAAGGAGCGGCGCACGCCGCATAATCGAGTGCAGGCAAGCGTGATCCTTGCCAGAAGCGTTCGATTGCGCCGACTTGTTATCTCCTAGGGCACAGTCTCAGCCCTCGCTTGATGGACAGATTCAGTAAATGCTGCAAGTCTCAAGCACAGACTCTAGGGCTATTTACGCTTGCGCAACCAGACATGGTGCGACGTAAGGGCAGCGAAGGCTTCAAGATGAGGAGACTACCCCGAACTACCTCAGCCCCAGGATGAAATTATGCTCGGCCAACTGGGCGCAGACAGGAGGTTAGCCTTGTCCGCCGTCGAAATCGATAGTTCGAATTAGAGTCCATCATGAAGTGGCGATAGAAGATGACGACAAAGTTTGAACCCCAAGATTTCGGCCCCTAGCCTAGTCTTTGTGTACTTGCTCTTTTTTATGTTGTCCTTGGCTACGTATCGTTTTATGTAGTCATTTGTTTCCGATGCAGTACATGCCAAATTTGCGTACCGCTCGCCGGCCAGTGGCTACCCAACGGTCCGTTGCATGTCTCTTTACCGGGTAAAAGAGCAGCTCTGTCAGGCTCGCCAGACTTGTGGATGGTCTCCCACTATGAGCGGATAGGAAGTGAAAGTTTACCTCTTAAACCATTCTCAGCTTTTTGTCTACATTCCAATCAACCTCCTAGCTCCGACTAGACGTCCACTCACCTTCATGTTCGATGCCTACAGGAAGGGGCGTCATTAGGTTACTGTGAACCAGGTATACTTATTATTATCAGTCAGGGCATTTCATTCACCGGCTGGACTAATAACCGACTTTCAAAACCACGACTTGCTCCCGTTCAAACCTTTTTCTTCGACAGCAACACAAGCCAGCTCTGGTCGTCTCACCGTCATTACTGCCACCCTTCGCTTTTCCATACCTTCCTTTGACTTGAATCTATATCTTCATATAGACATCTCCTTGGGTTGCCATCGCCATCGCAATGCATACCGGGATTAACGGAGAGGCCATCGCCCAGGCCCTGCGTGGCCGCACTCTCCATGTTCCCAGCATGAGAGGCACATTCGAGCACTGGCCGCAGACTGTACGAAACATACACTACCTGGCGCTGGTGGAGTTTGTTAATGAGCTCATCAACCGGTAGGTTCTGTGTGATTTTTTAGCAAGGACGGGTTGCTAAGATGTTACAGCATGCTGAGTATCCCGAGTCGAGTTGCCCAGCACAAGAGCCAAGATCTTGCATTGTTCTGTGCCTTGTTCGTCCCCCTTTTGGAGTGATAGACCCTTTCTAGTCTTGCTAATAATTCTGCAAGATGGTACCCACACGTTGATTGGGAAACGTTGAAGACTCTTTCCTACTACACAATATGGCTTTTCTTGTGGGACGACACCATTGACACAGCTGAGTACGATCTCGCTGATGATCTGGAGCAGGCCAATCGTTACCGCCAAGAAACGATGGCCTCTTTCAATCAATACCTGCGCAGCCCAGCCTCATTCGCGGATTGTGCAATCAACAGTGTGAATGAGGCCATCAAGCTCTTTGGCCGCGCTGTAGCCTCTTTCTTTACCGAGGGTTCGTCCTTTGGTTCTAGGTTTTCCCCCGGAGGAGTGATATGCTGACGAGTGATCACCACAGAGATAACCGAGCGCTTCCTGCATGAAGTCGACGTCTTCATCACATGCTCAGGGCTGGAACAGGAGCACCGGATTTCAGGCAAGATTCTGCAGTACGATGAGTACATTGATCTTCGCCTTGGAACAACGGCTGTCTACACCTTGACAGGACTTGTCGAGTCGGTGCACCCCGAAGTCATCCATACGTATGCATGCTAACATGATCAGATTTATCATTGGTGAGCATCTGCCAGAGCACATTATGAACAGCCAGGCCCGCCGTGACGTCTGGAGGGAGGCCAACATTGCCATCATCATGTACGTCGTCGCAAAAGGCGCTTCGAGAGCCCCTCATCTCTATGTGGTGGAAGCTAACATTGCATGCAGTGTCAATGACATTCTCTCTCTGAAGAAGGAGCTTGTAAGTATCGCCATTGACACACAACTGAATGGTTTCTCACCGGTCCAGCGCACCATGTGCCTCATCAACGCCGTCAGCGCCCTCATGAAAGAAGGCATGGACCTCCAGGGTTCCGTAGACGAGCTGATGGTCCGTCTCGTCGACTCGGTAGCCCGGTTTGATACGGCGGCCTCGGTTCTCGAACGCGCCACAGAACAGGCGCCGATGCTCAACATGACGGTCCAGAGATATTGTGATGCCTGTCGCACCATGGTTAGTGCTACGTATGAGTTTAGGTACGTCCGACTGCATGTGTGCGTCCCCGCCATTGGCAATTACATGCTAATACCAAGCAGCCTTGTCTCCGCACGTTACATGCTGCGGGAGTTTGTGGCGCCAGATGGCTCAGTGCATATTCCTCTCTGATCTCCGCGGACAAAGCTGGGATGACTTGCGCTGCAATGTACGTCTTCATTTGCCTCGGTGTCTGCGCAGATGGGAAATACTAGGTAGAATCACACGTGCCTGCAGGTCTAGGCATAGGGAAGCAAAATTCGAGTTTCAACTTGACAAACCATTCACTTGAAGGCAGACAGCTCGCGACTGTCGACATGTCTGTCTTACCATTAATGCACGCCGTCTACCACGCCGAAAGCATCTAGATGACGAGAGACCCCGTCAAATCATCCAGAGGCGTCTCATCCTCCTTGATCAGAGCCGCGAACCCCTCCACAAGATCGTCCCGCAGGTCCTCCCACCCCTCGACACCAATGCTTACGCGCATCAGCCTCTCGTCGCAACCGCCGTCGCTGACCCTTCGCCACTCGATGATGCTCTCGACGCCGCCGAGGCTCGTCGCGTGGTGGAACAGTCCCAGCTTGCTCGGCAGCCGGCGCGCGTGCCTCTTGTCCTTCATGTAAAATGCAAAGACGGGGCCGAAGCCGCCGGGCATCTGCTTGCGCAGCCAGCTGTCCGGATCGCGCGCCTCGGGCTGCAGGCTCGCGTGGCTGACGCGCAGCACGAGGCGCGAGGCGGGGCTGCCGTCGCGGCGCGCCTCGGCGTCGAGCCAGGCCACGAGCTGCTCGGCCGACCGCGACTGGAGCAGGACGCGTAGCTCGAGGGTGCGCAGCGACCGCAGGCCGAGGCAGCCCTCGAGGCTGCCCATGACGCTGCCGAGGAAGATGCGATCGAAGCGCAGCAGCGTCGCCATGTCCTCCTTCTCCTCGGGCGCCTTGCCGGCGGCAGAGGCAGCGGTAGCGGCGGTGGCGGCGGCGCGCGCCGGGTTGACAGTGAGCACGCCGCACAGCATGTCCGAGTGGCCGCCAAAGTACTTTGTGCCTGAGTGCAGCACGACGTCGGCGCCGAGGGCGAGGGGGTCCTGCAGGGGCGGCGGCGCAAAGGTGGCGTCGACGGTGAGGTAGGCGCCGGCGGCACGGGCGCGCTCGGCGTAGGCGACGAGGTCGAGGGCCTCGCCCGTGGGATTCAGGGGCGTCTCGACGTGGATGACGTCGCCGGGCCGCAGCTGGGCCCAGACCTCCGAGTCGGCGTGCGGGTCGAGCGGCAGATCAAAGGCCTCGAGGCCCGTAAGGCGGTTCATGAGGCGCACGATGCCGAGGCAGCCGTGGTAGCAGGGCCCGATGGGATGCGGCGCGGGTTGAGACGCACGAGCAGGGCGTGGAAGGCGGCGAGACCTGAGGCGTAGGTCACCGAGGGCCCGTTGAGGGCTGACGAGAGGATGGCCTCGAGGCGCGTCGTGTTGGGGGCCGTGGCGCGGGAGTAGATGTGCGAGTCGAGGGGAGCCGAGGGCTGCTCTCATCAGCATTCTGCATCTCACTTCTCTTCGCCTGCCGCTAAGGCCAAAGGGTAGGGAAGAACGAGACGCACATCGGTATTGTCCCAATGCTTGAGATCATCGGGGTTGCGACTGTACTCAAACGTCGTCGAGACGTGCATGGCCGGCGCGATGGCGCGGTGAGCGCTGATGTGGTCATCGCTGTGAATGGCGCGCGTGGCCAGCGAGAGCTGTTTCGGCTGGGCACCAGAAGCGTGCCCAGAGGCGGTAGGCTGAGGGTCGGTGTTCGACATGGTGTGTCGCAGTGTGTGTGTGTGTGTGCAGTGACGATGGCGATAGCAGCCGTGGTCGTGGTGTTGGTGATGTTGTGGCGATGACTCGACTTTATTATCTCAGTCACTCTCTCTCTGTCTCTGATGCCTCTGGATGATGGAGGCTTTTTCGCTGGCGTCGAATCCCGCCATGTGGGGGGCGTCCATGGTGACAAATGCCGAACAGATGGGTCCTGGTGCCATGAGTGCATGTGTGCATCATGCGATCCAGCAGCTAGTCGATCACGTCAAGTGAATGTTTTCAGTCTTCCTCTCTGACCTCCCCCCGCCGCCGCCCTTTTTCGCGCCCTGGCGATGCTGGGCATTGCGCTTCGAGAGGGCCACAAAGACCCCGGCGCCGCGGGGCAGATCCCGATCTCGGAACCCCGCCAAGGCCCATGAAGGCTACGACACGAAGAGCGCCAGATGATCGTCTTGCAAGTTGACATGTCTCATTACCATTAAAAAAAGCCCAATCGCAAACTCTTGTGCATCGTCTTTTCCCTGCCAGTCTCTTGCCGTCTCTGTGTTCTCTGCATCATCTGTCGTCGAGGCAGTCGGCCCTCGTCGGGGCAGTCAGCCCTCGTAACATGCCGCATCCTGCTTTCTCCCATGAACCGTAGCGAATGCGTTTCCTTGCCGTCCCGTACTTGATGTCCCATCGAGCCCCGTCCTGAACGCCTGCCCAAGCAAATAAACGCAAGTCTATAAACGATACAACAAAGGCCAGCATGATTCTCGAGCTGGCCTCACGCGTCATCAGTGCACCTCCTGCGCCTCGACCGGCGTCGCCGTCGTCGGCCTTTCCATGCTGCCGAGCTCGGCACCCTGGCCGCTCTGGCTCTGTCCTCGCTTGCGTCCGAGGAACCGCGACATGGCATTGTTGTTGGGCTGGCTCGACGGCGTCTCCTTGTGCAGATCCGTGTTCGAGTCGCCAAACCGCGCAAAGAGGCCGCGTTTGCGCTGTGGTTGTCCGTGCTTGTGGTCGTCGTTGAGGCCGACGTCCTCAAAGTGAGATTCCTCAACCGTCGGCGGTTCGTGGGCGGCCTTGCGATCAAAGGCCGACCGTGGCAGACGGGGAAATCGGTGCGAGTCGAGAGATTGGCGCGCCGGGAGGTCATGCGACGGCATCGGCGACCGGGCCGAGATGTCCTGGAGCAGATATACAATTAGCCACATGTTCCGGAGGTTCCGGTTGCGAGCAGACTCAGATGCCGGTGGGGCGGCGCATCGGGCGCGGCAAGGGGAGAAAACATACAAATGATCGCCTATAGGAATCGAAAGACTCGCGGGAAATCGAAAAGTGCTCAATGTCGCCGACGCTGCCGTTGCGCGTGTCTGTCGAGTTGCGGGCTGACGAGAGATACTTCTTAGGCCAAGCGGCCTTCTCTTCTGTAGGCGACGGCTGTCACAGCATCAGTAACGCCCAGACGGTTCACAGCCCAGGAACGGCGACTGCACTCACCGGCAGGTAGGCTCCGCTGTCATTGACAACTGGTG